TCTAACGAAAAACTGAAGCACAGCGAAGAAGAATTACACGTTTATCTGAAAAACTATAAAATTTATCGCTGAAAAAACTCATTTGTTTTGCTATTATTGATATTCAAAACGGTTTCAAAAGAATACTAAAGTATTGAAAATCCGAAATGATTTTGAGAATAAATGGTTTCATTGGAATATTATAACAAATATCTGAAGAAATCGGAAAAAATATATCGTTGCAAGCTTTATAAGGATTAGATATCAACCCCTATAAATGCTTGGTAGTTCTAGTGTTAATACATTGATTAACGAGTTTCGTTAGTCTAATGTCAAAAAATTTGTGAATATATTTGAAAATAATGCTAGTAATATTTTGTTTCTTATTATGTTTCTTATTATTATAATAATATTATTGTTATAAATATTTAGTATATTAATAAATGTATAATGACACGCTAAGAAACGCGCGCATCGTGAAAGACACGTTTCCCATCGACAACGCTTAAAAAGCAAAAGGCGTTGATTCACGTTCCCCGTCGTCAAGGCTTAAAAAATAAAAAACGTTGACTCACGTCCTTCGTCAATGACGTATTAAAAAATTTGGTAACCTTAGCCAGCATCAATGTCACTTGGAACAATGGTCCTGGATGACCATTAATAGCCAATTGGTAAAAAATCTTAGAATTGTGTATATTCACTATATTTTCTAAATGAAGAATTTCAATTGAATATTACTTTATCCTTGCCAATGAAAAAAAATAGAAAAAAGCAGATGGAATAGACATGCTAAACAATGGAATAACAGAAAATTCATCTTTGCCATTTTTCGCAACTTTTTCATATTGTATGTGGTTTCATTTGTTTGTTGTATTTAGACTGTTACGTTTATCTTGAATCCTTTGTCATATAACAACGATTTAATAACAATTTAATAACAATCAGTATTATTTATTATGTATGAGTCTAATAAAAGATTGTTTTTCCTTTAAAAGTACAAAATAAACGTACAGTTACAATGAACAAAAAATTTCTTCGTGTTTCCGCAAATTATTAATGCAATAGTAAAATGAATCAAACGACAGTCGTATAAAGTTAAACACAGTTTTAACCGTAGACTTACATTTATATGTAATTTATATGGACATTTATTGTACAGTTTGTTCTATCGCTCTTAGAAACATTGATATTCGTTCATTTTAGATTTCAGAAATTAGAGATTTAGCAGTAGACAATTAGGACACACATTTACATACCTTCATCAATCAAAATCGACTCAAACATTTACCAACTAATGTTTATAAAATTCAATATGACTCAAATTGAATCGTTTAGTAAATCTAGCGATAATGTTCTACAATTCCCTAAATTTTACAATCCGTCAAATTTAGCTACTCGACGAATCTTTAATCCCCGCACTGTTACTCGACGAAAAAAGGGATAATTTCACGTGAAAATGGTAATATTCATTTGACTGTGGATACGTTGGAGTGTGACACGCGCTAAACCATTTTCTCTTTCAAGTTAATGTTATCAGCGAACCATAGCTCCATTCCTATAATTATCACGTCCGCGAAGCAACGCTGCGCGCTGCAATGATATAACCTATCACGCCAGTGCAATTAATATGCTCAATTTTAATCGGATTGCTGATTACGGAGCCTCAAAAATAGAGAATCTTTTAGTCACTCTCAACTCTAAACTAAAATGACCACTATAAAATATACAAAACGACTCTTCTACATATGCTAGATGGTCGTTGCGATTTATTAAAAAAATATAAAAATTGACTCTGAATTTATTAAACGTCTATCACTTAGAAACGTCATAAAAGTGTTTCCATTAAATTACAGTTTACTTTAATAAAAGTTTCCCTACTCGTATTAATGCAGTATTTAACTAGTATTGATCTTAGCGTTAATAATTTGCGAGAGCATAATAAAACTTTCTGTTCATTATAATTGCACATTTACTTTGAAGCCAAAACATTGATGATAGCAAAATAACCTTCAACTCTGATTTATGTGCAATGAATAACATTTAATCTCTATTGAATTAAACCAAAAATCTTCGCCCGTAATTCTTAGTGCTTGCACAAATGCAAACATAAAAGAAACAAAGAATTCTTCTCTTTTTTCAGTACGCTATTAACTATTAATAAACAAAATGATAGCATCTAGCTCAATCATGGAAGAGAAATCATACATCAAGGAATTAAATCGATCTAGAAGCCTCCACCAAGAGCCTAGCCAACATTTTGCTACGAACTAAGCAGTCGAAGCGTTGTAAACGAGTTTCAAGAAACCATACTCAAATTTTTCATCCCTTCTTCTTGTCTGATGTAATTACAGCATCGTCACGAAAACACGACGTCCCGTTGTAATATTCGATATAATAGTCCAGAATGAGAATGAAAGGGAACGGTTGTGTAAACCTACCCTACAAAAGCTTCTTTATTTTCACGAGCACGAACCCAGCCGGGATTGGTCAAGGAGAAGGTAGGTACCTCGATCGCGAGCGCGAGCGCGTATGTAATCCTGTCTTTTCACTCAAGTGGCCCGTATCGAATAATTGCTGTTACGTACTTCCTAGTAAGCACACCTGAACGGACGCTTTGAAACCTAATATATCCAAGGAAACCGCCTCTCGCATCCGCAACGAGAGGATCTTCCATTCAATTTCATCCGCTCAATAAGTCTGCGGTTTATCGGCCAAGATAAAGGTGAAAGACGTTCGACCCTAACACGCGACCACCGTATATAATTGTCGCTTACTTTTACATGACAAAACTATTGTACTGCATACGGAAAATATTACGTCTACCGGAAAATTTCGTCCGTTTTTGAATTAAAGGAAAATAATAAATTCTCAATAGATTTATTATTTAGAATGAGCTCGACAATAGTGAGAATAATAGAGATTCGATTGGGAATTCATACATTAGAGGTTCGGCACTTGACGGTTTGAATAAACGAGGTTTGGATAACTGAAGTTTTACTGTAATATATAAGTTGTACATGGTGCCTCATTTTAATCTGTAAATAGTTGTGAAGATGATTGCACTTATAGATTAAAACGGGATACCCTATATAATACGGACATGTTGGTAAATACGTTAATTCTTTGATTGGTAGTCATACTCGTCAAATTATTTTGCTGAGCTTCTAGTCACTTTTCTGAACATTTAAACACGAATTACAATTTTTTAGGGGTATATACATACCACTATGTAAGTTACTATGCAATGAGAGAAGCTATATACTTTGAGGAATTTTCATTTCGAAAGAGTGTCGTGAAAAGATATCAATCAAAGAAATTGATAACGTTTATCCGGTATCGTGGTCGAGTGGAATGCCGAAAGACCAAAAGGGAGTGTTTCCTGCGAGATTCGTTCCATGGGAATCTTGCCCCATCCAAGTTAAGGAGGGTTGAACAGGAAATCGATATTCCCACTCCTGACCGTCTACAATGCCGATTGCCTGACAGGAAGTCAAGTCAACAACGACAATATCTGTCATGTTACTTGCACCGAATTATGTAGTAGAATAGATGTAACGGTTAATGCATTAAATAAACTATCATATTTTCTAAATGAAGCTCAATGAAACTCGGCATTACCGAATTACTGCAATATTACAAATTAGAAGCAACGATTTCCCGGTAAAACGAAGTACACATTGCAAAAATGGAAACCTTTACAAGTAATATGTATCAAGGGAAATGTCAATTTTCAAAGTTACAGTAGAAACGAAATGAAATGGAGAAATGTAGGACTTAATTAATACTATTACTTTACGAGGCACGTTTCCATGACTCGAGGATATTGTTAGAACGTGAATACCGAACATTTGACCTGGTCACTGACATGACATTAATCCAGAATGACGAACGTAACCACATTAAGTGATATTCGACGGAGCAGCGATATTCTCGGTTATTTCCAAGCGGCTAATGAAAAATTAATGAAAACGGTCTCATTTTCGAATTTCGCCATCGCCGAATGTCATATTATTTGCATACGATCGTGCGGAACGGAATTCAAGCACATCTATACATCACTGACGTCGATTAAGGTTAAATTAGATTTCCTGAACAGCTTTATTAAGGCGGTCGAGACGCGTTATGATCGACATTTGTCACAGAAGATAACTTCAATGACGAGAAATATAAATGTTATCCTCAAAATAACTTTACGTGCATCGCAACGTCAATTTTACAATTACGTGGATTTCTATTTATACTTTTCAACCGGAACATTGCACACGGATATACAAATGACATTGTTTTATGTAAGAAAGAAGAAATGTACTGAAACGTGAGTAATTCTAGTTTTCAAAGCAGGTACAATATATTCAATTCCAATAATTGTAACGTTTTTGTGGGAAATCTAAATTACCGTTTCGGTCGTTGAAACAGATGCGTATTTGGCCTATTATCCCCTCTCCCTTCCCAACTTTCCTAGTCGCCATATCTCCACGACAGTTCGGCACGTAGGCACTTTTCGTGTTCAATGTGGGAATCAAAGTCATCTAGGACCGAGTTCGTGTACTAACAGTTAACTCGGTCGGTAAACACCCTACTTGGTTTGCTACATTGCCGCGATTCAATATCCTACTTTACCGATAGCAAATGGTAAAATTACCTACAGAATTTTGCACGAAATTAAAAAAATAGAGAATACAGGATAAGAACGATGAACCCTATGTGTATATCGTCCAAAGAGCCGACGCCCCCTTTTCAAGGCAAACAACTCTTGTGAGAGATTACAGCATTTTTACCCTACTTACTTTAGTTTTATTTTTATAAAGTAGAAATAGCATCAGAGTATTCAATTGACATTCAATTGACATTTTCTTTTAATTAGTGAAAAAAGCAATGTTATAATTATTTTTGTATGTTACCGACACGATTGTTAGTTTGAAATATGATATGACTATGCGCTATTGTATAGCATCCTCATAATATATAATAATAAGAAAAACATACAGTATAGTATAAAATAAACTGTCACAATCACTTACCATTGAAAAGCGTTGAAATGATAATAGACAAGTCCTTGTCCATATAAAAATGAGGCATCTTTCCAATAATCCCCTTTGAGAGAATAAAATTTTTGATATGCTGACATAGCTAATCAAATAAAAAGAGATTATTAAAATTAATATTATACCACGAAAACTTAAAAGTTTAATGAAAATTTTTAATTACCTTTGCTATAATCTTCTAAAAGTAAATGAAAATGTCCTAATTTACAATATGTTTTAGGATCTATACTGATCCCTTTATCTTCTTCATCCTCTTTTAATTCATCAGGATTCATTTTCGTACTATCTGCTTTTCTACGTTGTTTTTCAGCTTGCGCTTGAACCAACATCCTTTCTAAATATTTGATTGCACGAACAACTAAAGCCTTTTTTTTTGTTTGCTCCGTTGAATTCAGTTTCAAGAATCCAAACTGCCGGCTGTGCTCCCATTGAAAAAAGAAAAACACATTAGTCAATCTTTTCAATTAAAGACCGATATCACTTGTAAACAAAAGATATTATTTGTTTTAACATTGTAAAAATTGTAACACACTTTAAGTGACACATTTTTCATTACATGTCTCTGTACACTGACTAACAACGAATTGCATTTTTCATTTGACACTCTCGAATAATTCTATTTTCATATATGTTAAATACATTTTCATGAAACTGCTTACGCTACCGAACAGAAAAACGACTTTTTAATTATTAAAATTGTGAAAACACAACTCTATAACAACTGAATGTAGTATGATCAGACGCGTGGAAAGGATGTCAGTAGGTTGCAGGCACGTCTAAATAAACCGATCGAATTGCGCGCCTATTCTGTCAAATAACTTTTTAGGTTATAATTTATGAAGTACATAAAATAAACGCAATGGACGGACGAAAATTGATAAAACCTGCGCGTATATTGCTATTACGAGGTTTGTTTACTTCAAGATCACCTGTCTAACTCGGATAGTATCTGTAATTCTTGAGGAGTCAAGTTGATATCGTCAGTCTCCTGGGCCATTTTCGCACACGGTAAACAGATTCATTAGAAACAAGAGGGACACATGTTTGCACACAGAACAGGCCGCTTTACACAAAAATCCGAGTGATTTTTTTAATCCGCGCCCTCAACACCTCGTCACCTCATTGGGACGGTAAGTTTTTAAAAGCGGCGATCAGGTTAAATCAGGATGGCGAATCACGCGACGGAAGACCATTACCACCGCTTACATCGACTTGTAATTCCGGCAATATAGGAAAAGATTTCCTTCCACGTCCCAAATCGGCGCGAAAATTTAAATGCATTACTATATTGAAACGTTTAAACCTAATTAAAAGTATTTAATAACGCGTCCCATTATATTTCGTATCTTTTCTTTCACTCTATACTATTTAATTTATCTGATTTTATATGTTATATATGTATATTCATATATATGAATATGGATTTTCATATAAAATATGTATAACCATTAATTATTATTCAATACTTGCAAGAAATGTTATTTCTAAAAAAGTCTATTCCATTTTCCTCCTCTATTCTTCCTTCATAAGGAAAACTAATTGGAAGTAATATAAATATTCTTCATAATGAAATTATTGCCAAGAACAATTGAATCAATTCAAATTGTAAAAAATTTGTCCAATTATTCTATCTGAATTGATAAAATCAATATTTATAATCTTATATAACAATTACAAATTTTTTAATTTCTGTTCTTTTAAAATAGTAATTATAGATATTCGTTGTTGACGTCTTAATAGTGATTTTGTTCATATACCGTCTGCACGTTCTTTAAACCGAAAACGTTTGTTCAGAGATACTAAAGACTTCGAACTGTCAGATCGGTTTGAGAGAGAGCACAAAGTCGTTAGTTTTATTAAACACTTTGGTGATTTGAGGATTAGGTGAGCTTTGCACGTGTAAATACTAACTAATATGAAATATTACATAATTTATGGACACGCCTAAACTTTAATATGCCTAAATTAGACAAGAAGAGTACCTTCAAGTCAGGAACAACAAAATTGTTTAAACGGTAGACGAATTTTCTTTTTCCACATATTTCTGAAGAATGATTATTCTTATCTGAGAAACTACACGCATTTCATCAGTCGTAAACAATCAATCCGAAAATATCAGTTTTATACGATAGGACACCGAACTATTATAAATTCTTGGCACTGTAATCATCGATATATTTTCGTTCTGACGAATAGTCGAAGTATGAGTTCCTAACACTTTGTTATTTAAAGACGTGAAACTAGCATTAATACTTTGCCTTTTCTACAACAACTCGTGACAAAAAGGATAATGAATAATAATATTAGTTTTATAAATGCAAAAAATTCATGGAATACCAAATTAGTAATAATTCTATATTTAATTCAAAATTTCTGATTTCCTACAAAAAATTAGAAATAGTATTTTATTTTCAGTGTTAAAATGAGTCTTCCTGTATCTAAGAAAAGCAAGGACGATGCAAATAAAGAAGAATGTAGCATAAACATTTCAAAGGAAGCAAAGAGTATGATCGATAAGATTTTGGGTGATGTTAGCAAGAAATCTGCTACCAAACAAATTATTATTGGTACAACATCAGGATGGTAGGAATTTAATATATATGAATTGAAATAAGTCAAAGATTTCATATGTTAATTAAACTAAAAAATCTCAATCTTTTATTTCAATATAATATTAATATGTATATTTAATAAAATTTATTCAGCTTCACATAAATATTTTATATAGGGTAACTGGCTTTATGACCATGAAAGTTGGAAAAATGGCTGCTCTTGCATTTGGCGGTGGTATTATAATGTTACAAATAGCAGCCCATCAAGGATACATAAAAATTGATTGGGACAAAATACAGAAAAAGGCTGAGAAAATTACAGATAAAGTAGAAGAAAAAGTTACTGGTGAGGGGCCGAGATTGATGGATAAGGTACATATATAATTATTATTCTTTGTATATTTTTTTTTAACTAGCACTAATATTTTCTAATTTAATATTTATATTATTCACAGGTAGGAAGATGGTGTAGAAACAATTCATTTGTGGCAACCAGTTTCATTGGTGGTTTCATTATTGGTTTAGCATCTTGAATGAAATTATGCTTAACTTTTTTATTAAAATACAAGTAAACAGTGTGTATTTATTAGTCTTTTATATCGGCCTTGTATATTAGCTGTAATTTTTGCTTTTGCCCAAAAAGGAAAGGCATATTATTTATCAATCATATTAGTAAGACTGTTTAAACCCTAAAAAACTAATAATGTTTCAGTTTTTTAATATATAAATTTATATGTGATATAAATAATTGTTGCATTATGTTTCATGTATATGCGATTAAAGTCTAATGCTTCTAAAAAGTTACACATTTGCATTTTAAAATTAAAAAGTTTCACGTACTTTATATTAATACCATTTAGTTATTAATCATACACACATGCATATATACAAATTCATGCATTGACTCGCTTAAAAAGATCTAAGAAAAATTTAAGTATTGTAAGAAGATTTAAATTATATCTTCCAATAAACAGAATAAGTAAAATTTGTTCTTACTTTCTGTTTTTATCTTTACGAATTTTATTTGATGAACCTTTGTAAATTTGTATGTTGTACTAAAAAAATGTTTGTATGTTAACCTTTAAATGATAAATATAATTAATCTATTTTAGTAAAAGAATTTATTGTTTCAGGTCGAGCGATATGTTGATAAAAAATTAGATAAAGCTGAACAATTGTTGAAAAATGGAGAATCTCGTACACGACGTTGGTACCATTCTGTTACCGGTGACACTTCTTTCAAACCTAAAGAATTTCATTTTTTCATCACATCCTTTGTAACCGGTTTAGCACTTGGCATGGCTACCGGTAATTAAGTTTCATAACGCTGCACTCTGAATGCAAGTAAGAAAGTGATGTACTTATAATGAAACAACTTTCATGTTCTAACACTCGATAATATAGTGAACAGTTAACTTATGATAATGATAAGAATCGATGAAATACAAATGATGTAATACTCTCTGCAGAGCATTAAAAAAACAATAATTACAATGTATTTCTTTTATGGCTCAATTTGTGATAACTGTTTTTCGTATGTTAACACAAATTTTCTTTTGTCAATTTCAATATAAAAATTGATAAAAAAGAAATTTAAAAAAATGAATAATCAAAGTATTCATGCATCTTAAATTCCAAATGAAGTTTTTATAATTCATAAATTTATATTAAATGAATTTTGATTCGAATAGACGTTCATTGATGCATGAAAATACAAATAACATAAAACTTCTCACAGATGATTACGACGATTATACCTATTCAGAATGCAGCAATATAACAATGCAATAATTTTTAATCATATTTATTGCGTTATGCTTATGGTAGTTACTTGAAAAGAAGACACAAGCGATATTTGTACTATCTTTTCATATTTAACCTATTTGTAAAAAGTATTGAATTACAAAAAAACTTTTTATTATTTAGTTTACTAGATAAGCGATATGTTTCAGACAATTTTATATTAATGATATAAAATATATATATACATTAAACAACAAAAAAGGTGTCGTCAGAAGGTGATACTATAAAAAAAAGTTGTTTTTTTCATTAATAATGAGTTTTCAGTTTCTCAGAGCGTATACTTAAGTTATATGTTTCTAGATGAGACACATTCTTTGAAAACAGTATTATCCAGTCAATAAAAAATTTCATTAAAGTTTTCCATGTACAATAGCATCAAATATTGTAATAAATAAAATAAACTGTGTAATACTGCCACATTAGTTATATGTGGATTTGTAGATACTATGTATAATGTCTGTATGTGCACGGGATATAATTATAAATAATCCGAAAAGTAAATATTGCTTACTTTCAAACAAGGTATTTAAAGTAAATATTTTAATGGATACTAAATGAACAAAAATTTCAATGAGTAGAAAAATAAATTATAAAAAGTTGTCACTATATAAAATGGTCATTATTTTGATATCATTGTTCTGTTAAAATCTTTTTAAGCACTGCATTATAATAATTCTTAGTCGCCTTCTAATCTTTTGATCACCATTACAGAAAATGTGTGTTGAATTATCTCCTATTTGAATTAAAGTATCTTCATCCTGCTGCAAATACAAATGATTAATGAATACGGGTAAACTAAATTTCTTTTATGTTAATATAAACGTTCCTTACTAAGTGAATACTGGTAGCAGTTGGACTGTGTTGTAATTTGGCCCCCAAGATGCCTTCTTGATTAAGCTTTTGAAGCAATTCTTGCGGATCCACATTGCCATACTCATGTTTTCTTTCCTTTAGAACTTCTTCTTTGATAGGTGCAGGCGAGCCAGAAGAGGCTTTACGCTTTCCACTTGGTCTATCTTCAATGCTCTATAAATATAATTTTCAATTAATTCTATGTTAATTTATGTTTTAATACTAAACGTACTAGCACTTCATACATTATACATTAACTATTCCTACCATAACCAATCAAATAACTGGTTATAAAATAAAGGTAAACAAATTAAATGATAAATTTTTCTTAATGAAAAAAGAAACAAAAGGAAAGACGAAAATTGAAAAACTAGTTAATCAGACAATATAAGAATTGATATAAAGTTAAATAGACAGAAGAAAATACAGAATTTTCAATAAAACTGGTCATTTGACTGGTCGCGGTACGTTTAGTGGTAATAATGCATACCTTTATTGTATACACATTATCTTTAACTTCTAATTCGCCAGTAATAGAAGCAAGACTCAATCCAGGTCGAACTTCACTTGGAACTATATTTCCAGCCAATTCAGGTTCAATAAATACTCGTCCTTTCTTCCTTTTCAGAGGTAATTTAATTACTTCGCCTCGTTTAAAAGTAATTAAAGGTTTTTCCTTAAACGCACATACGGATCAAGTGTCAATATTCAAAATAATCCATACGTAAGTAACAGCATTTAAGTACTAAGAAACAAAGACTTACTCCAACTGGTTCTATTACAAGATCTGTCCTATGTGGTGCTGTTATTGGTGGTTGTGTATAACATTCAGGTATCACCAAATGTTCTGGTTTTAAATCCCTAATTAACTTATTAGCTTGAGTAAAATTAAGGGATGTATCTATCGGACAATGTACTGCTTTCATAGCTAAAGGTTGGAATGGTGCTAAAGCATCCAGATATGGAAAATCTGGTTCTAAAATAATCACTGATTAATACAGAATATACAGAGTATCACAAAAATATACATACTATACAAAATGTACCTGTAAAAATTATTGTATGTTGTGGATTATTACTCCACAACTGAACAAAATGAACTGCATCCCCAAATCTAAGACTAGGGTGACCACAGAAAACAACACAGGGTTGTCTATAGTCAGAACTAAAACCTTCTGCATATGTTGATGTAAAATGTTTTAATCTATTATTTTTAACAAGAAATGCATGAGGAAATGGTTCTTCGGGAAGATAAACTTTATTTTGTTTATTTGTTGATAACCTACAATGAAATCAGAAAAAATCATGTAAATGTTCATAACATTCAATATTCTCAAACGTACCATTCAGCTAATATATTTGAGTAGGCTAAAGATGATTCAGCTACTGGTGATATAAAAAATAAGGGAACTTGCGTAAATCCTGACTTGTCCAAATGAGTACTAAGGCATTCGAATAAGTCGTACACAACACCAGATGGATAACAAGGTATTAAAACACATCCACCAGCTCTGAGGGTCATAGCTAAAATCATATTTCAATATAAGTATTGAATTTCTAACAAACAATAAACACTCGTTACATACCAACAGTCATGCAAAGTTCTCCAAGCATTGTATCAGGATTAGCAGTAGGGGTTTGAGTTAAACCTGTCAATATTAATAAGTTGGCATGTTTTAATGTTGCCTGTTCCATAGGACGTGGATGTGTTGTTAATGTTGATGATCCACTTACAAATGCAACTTTTTCATGATCGCATGATATCAACCAATTACTACTACCCAAACAATATCCAGAGCTTATAGGGGTTACCGTTAATGCACCATATATATCCTATGAAGGATTAATAAATATTTATTCTGAACTAACAGTGTCTTACGTTTACTTACTAATTTTTGATCATATCCAACAGTTTGAATGTACGACAAAGCATTATTAACTGCTGACATCGAATATACATGTTTCCAAGACTTTGGTTTAAGGGCATCAGCTAAAGGGGGAGGTAAAACATGTAACATCTCCTTCCAATGTTTAGCCAATGTTGCTCTAGGTGTTTGTTCAATAAATTCTACTAATTCTTCCATAAAAAATCGTCCAATTTGTAACGTCGGTTCTGTAGCATACACAATGCCTTTAAAACCAGTATCTTCAGTTATAAATGGTAGAGCCAACATACAGGTATAATTTGATATCAAAATAGCATCGATTTCTGAAAAATCAATTATTTTCTCCAGTGGTGGAGAAAATTCAGGAGTAGAATCTACAAATACTCTACCACAACATTCTTTCAATTCCTAGAAATGAAACGTTTAAAACTTATAGATTATTACACATAAGAGAAACTTTTTTATACATTGATTAAAACATATAAATATTCAAACCCCTTCTATCTGCCAATCTTGATGATTATCACGAGGAAGCCATGATAGTAAAGAATTGAATTTAGCACTAGGAACCAAAGGCATTGGCATAAAATGTAATACGGATTGCATATTTAAGCCGCAGTCCAACATTAATGTAATGCCTTTGAAACTTAACACCAAACATGGCTTTGTTGGTTCACTTGATAAACAATACTATAAACAAAAACTCTTATACAATACAATTATCATAAACAATGATGATAATAAAAGTTAATGATTGATAAAATTTATGTATATTAAGGTTACGATTGGGATTATTAAAAGTATTCAGTATCTTATTACATTATTTATAATTAAGCACTTCAGTATCACAATAATAATAGTTACCAATTTCATTTTAAAAATTGCGTTCTTCTTTTTATTCTTTACTTATTCGATCTGTAAGATAGAAGTATTTTCATCGGACATGTAAACATTGAAAACATAACCTCTCAAGAAAAGAGTGTAGTTTTATGACTTTCAAATTATTTTATGTCAAATCAAACATTTGTAATATTTATTCATATAAAGTATAAAATACATATGATATACGATTACAAAAAGAAAAATTTCCTTCCCTTTTGTCTATTTATTTGTGTGTTTAAAAATGTGTGAAGTTATAGTATTGTTCAATGGTTATTCTTTAAGACTTGAAAATGGAACAATGAAAGCGAATTGTTCTTGCACACTAATAAAAGCTTCAAAAAATATAATTGTTGATACTATGACAGCTTGGGATAGAGAAAAAATAATAGAAGGTATCATTTCAATTACATTTTGTATATATTCATGAGATGCTCATTCAAAAATTTCATTTCAGCTCTTAAACAGCATAATATTACCCCTGATAAAATTGATTATGTTGTTTGTACTCATAGTCATGCAGATCACATAGGCAACAATAATCTTTTTTTAAATGCAGAACATATAATCGGAACTTGCATTCATCGAGGTGAAATTTTTCTTGAAAAAAATTTAAAAGATGGTAATGCCTTTTATGTATACTGATAATTATAATTTAATTATAATTATACAATAAGTATATAGAAATTCTTATTATTCTAAATACAGAAGCATATGAAATTTGCCCAGGAGTTAAAATCATAGCTACTCCAGGACATACAGCTGAAGATGTCACAGTGCTAGTTCAAAGTACTACATCTGGAAAATCTGTATGGTTTGCTATAACAGGTTTCTTTTCAATTTATTTATGCTTTAAATCTTATCATAATTCACTTTGTTACATTTAATTATATTGTAATACATTTTGCAGGGGATTTGTTTGAGAAAGAGGAAGACATCTTAATTCCTTCAATCTGGAAAGAATTGGGAACTGTAGAATTACAACGAGATCAATCTCATTGGAGATCGTATATAATTAATTTTGCAGACTTTATAATACCTGGACATGGACCTATGTTTAGTGTTACTAATGATATGAGAAAAATAATCAAGAATCAAGAAGTGTGTTAATTTTATAATATTTGTAAAAATAAAGTTAAATTATAAATTAAGTTTTATAGAATTTATTAACAATTTTGAATTTTTTATTACAAAACACTGAGTAATTAATAATTACCAATGAAATTATGTTAAATGAAACTAGCTATTGAAAAATTTTATTTTTTATGTCAAATGTTTTGTTTCAATTTTTTTCATTTTTAGTAATAGTAATTATTAATACTTGTGCGTTTAAAGAATATTTAATATTATTACAGTATTAATTTAAATTACAGAAAGTATTTTAAAAATATGGTTAAACTTTTTTTTTCAATAAACAAAATATTCCACAGACAATAGGTTGTTTATTGTGTTCGCTTATAAAGATACTAAACTTGATTTCAGTAGATGATGTTTTCTTCTGTAATGTTGAATAAGTTAATGAATTTATTTTTACAAATACTTTATTAAACACTGTAAAGTGTAGTACATAGTATCACAACATCTGTAGCCTATATGTATAGTATACATAGTAATTATTACATATTCAATTCACAAATAGAAAAGAGCATTTCAGTTATTATATGCTAAAATCCTGCTTATTATGCAACTGCATAAATCCATCAACATAATTTGCCTTGTACAATTAAATTAATGTATTAAGTAGCTACATGTAATTGTAAAAAGAATAACACGCATACATTGTAAAGGATAGTTTCAATATGCTGTATTTTAAATATTCACTTCTAGTATGCAAACTAAACATTTAAGTAGTTTTGTTACATATTCACAGCCAACATCTAAAGTAAAAATTTATGTATCATTATACATCATTTTCATATTCGATACATTTGTATTCAATGGTTTACATTCTGCTGATAATAAATCATATTTAAATATAATTGTACATTAAACAGTGATACATACGAAATTATAAGCTAATGCTGCATAGTTTAATCATATATTGTTAATAATGACAATGTTATGTCTTTCTCAAAAATAATTAGATTATATTTGTAGACAATATTACTTTATTTGTGTTCTTGCAATATGAATCTTTTTTTTAACTGCATTGTTATCATGTACTTGAAAAGTATTATACTTTCTCTTGTAATAGTGTTTATAAAAGAAATTCTTGTTTTTTCTTGTAATTTATTTATCTATGTGAACTTTTGGCACTTGTTTCATTTGCCATGCACAAAAACTTTTTAAGTACATTTTTCTCATTTAATTGATTTAACTGACATGCCAATTATACATTTTTTTGTGTTCTAAAAATGTACATATATTTAAAAATTATAATATAAAAGTATTTGCACATTGTAACGTGCTAAGTGTCCTGCACCTTTAAGGGAAACATGTTTGCTTATGGCAGCAAAATCAATTCACTGGATAACAAATTAAATTCTATATCCAAATAGTTTTCGTACAAATATAACAGTTTACCTTTATGAAATTAATGCAAAATACATCTAAACGTAATAATTGAAATTTGTATTATACATTTTAACATTAATGTGTATTAAAGCATTAGCATTTTCAGCAAAACAAAATATAGCTGTAAGAATATCAATTTATTGTCACAGTATTAACATAAAAGTTTTATATAAATGTGTTATTTGTAAGAGAAAGGACTACTTTTTAAATATTTTATTATATCTTAATGGATTGATCAATTATTATACTTAAATGTATAATGCATACTTGGTAGGTGCAAGTCGGTGTTACCACATTGTATCTGATCCAACAATGGTTTAACATAAATTTGGTTTTCAATAAATATTATAAGCCAGAACGTTCACTGAATAGTAACTAACATAACAACTGAAAACTGTAAATTTACATCAATGACCGTTACTTTTTTTTTATAACCAACTCCATCAAGCTTAAACAACCAATAAGTCTATTTAAATATAATTGAACATGGTACACACATACACGCACACGCACGCACGCACGCACGTACAAGCTGATTATTTGAGAATTCAGATATTTACCTAATCCAATATTAGCAATAGTCAAAGAGGAATAAATAATTAAAAACTAAATAATAAAATGGAAAATGTATCCATTATAAAGTGAATGTAACAGGAGTTGTATTCATTCATATGATAATATAAAGAAGAAATTAATTTCAAAGAAAGAATATATTGATAGAAAATATATTTCTTAATTATTGGGAAGTATTTATATTAATAATAAAGGCAGCTGATACTGGGAATATTTTTATAAATCTATGACAGGTAATATTGTATTGGATACAACAGTCTGCACAGATTATAAGCCTTTCAAATAAATACATTTATCGGTTGAACATACAGTACAATATATTAAGCAAGGTAAGCTTGTTTACCAATGTAAATTAGTCTTTACAAATGTCTCCCGACCAAACCTGGCAAGGCGACGCGTGTGTGCAGTGGTAGTGGTCCCGGAATAACTTCTCCCATCACAGTTCCCAGCTGCCCCACAAAGTATTAAACACATCAAGAACCCATCTCTCGATTCTTACATATTATTTAATGGTATACCAAATGCAATTATTCAAATATTAATTTTGTGTATTTTAAATCTTCTAATTAAAATCATTCTTAAAGAATTACATATAACATGTAGAGAACTAGGCAAACGTTTCAGCTAAATCTTCTTCATAAAGATGCTACAATTAAACAAAATCTATGAAACAAGGAAAAGGCTTCAATTTACATTATTTCGTATTTTTGTATTCGTAAAGTTTACCTAAAATGTATAAAATAATAATGTTAAAACAGTTTTATATAGAAGATTTCAATGATCTGAAATCTATATTTTAAGTTTAGAATTTTTGGAAGGCAATTTTTATTTTGCCCTCTCCTTGTTATTTATTTTTGGTACAATAATACTTACATCAAAGTTTTTGTTGTTAGTGTCTTTCTACCTTGCCGAAAATATTCAACAATATTTTCCAAAGAAAAGAAATATCAGAAATACGATCAACATTTATAGAAACTATAATACAAAAGTAATATTGTTTGACATCAAGATTGCGTATGCATATACCTAAGTCATAATTCGCTCACTAAGAATTGAGGTATTGATTACAATGTACCAGAAAACATACACATACATCTTGTATCATTTTAAGAATTTGTAACTTATCTAATAACAGAATTACATAGATTAGAAATTAAACACATTGAATCAGGATTTATAAAGAAAACAAGATAATGTTAAACAATATAAATGATTATGGCATGTTAAAAAATAAGGAGGACATTGCTTTAATACTTAAAACTTAATTGCAGCCATATCTTCAAAAATGTATACAACTCGCTATTGATAAAGTGTGTTAAATTCACTTTTATAAATGTGTTCTGTTTGGGGAGCTCCTTACATGTGTCTGTGGAGAAACCAAATAAAAATAAGCAATACAAACAAATTAAATAAAAGAATAAAAGTAATGCAAATAATAATACAATAAAAAATAAGAATCTGTGTACACAACTTAAAACATTCTATTATAACTGCATACACAGTCATTTATCGCTTTAAGAATAAATTGCTTGCCGATTGCACAATAGCGTAACAAGTTTGAAGAAATCTTTATAAATTGTAATATAATTTATTAAAACATTAAATTCAGTTTAAATTTAAAACATATTAAATTTGCAACTTAGATTTCTTATGTTGTAAGTAAAATATGACACGCAAGACTTAAAAGTACTGAAATGTGCATTAAGCTATTTGCAGCAATGTGCAGAGAATGCATCAGAAACTATATTTAAAAAGTAGGGAGACATAATAGTATAGTAAAAAATATTTTTAATAATGTAAAGAAAGATGAAACAAAATTGTTTTTTCCTGTACATATTACGTGTTATTGTTAGCATAAGTAGTGTGCAAGCGGCAAATCTTAGATAACATTCGTAATATGAAACTTAATGGTTGGAAAGTGATTTGGTTTCTCATGCAACAACATTCGGTAAATGAGAGATCTAAACTAAATTCTTTGTCAGTACAACTACGTATAGATAAAATGTAAGAAATGTGAAAAAAGTAATAAAAACTACAAGGGACAATATCTACTCCCTCAACCTGTTAATATGTTCTGATGTTACTAAAGTATGAAAGCTTAGAGGTTCATCGAATACTGAAAATTATGTTTAATGTTCGATTACAATATTTTTAAGAAATTTGGCAATTTCAATAACATTTCACTGTACATTATGTTTATATTAGACCTTTTGTTATAATATTCTACTTTCAAAGAAATCACAATATGTACATATTCTAGAAATTTTTTATTTATGTCCTATGTATCATCTGAGTTTTGTAAATTGCATTCATACTAAAATACATCACACTATTACGCCAACGAGCTCTGAATACAGAGACAATGAATCATTTATTTCTTGCACCAATATTATCTTTCCACCTTATCGCTAATATTAAAGAAAAATATAATTAACATAATTTTTCATAAAAGCTTCATAATAGCCCCTAATCATTTAAATAAATATATAAACGTGTATGTGACTTGAATATGATAAAATAAATAAATATTATATTTTTTTAAATAGAGGAATTTACATACCACTTTCTTTAATCTATATAAAATTATGGAATTGTTAGCTAATAGTACAGACCTCCCTTCACAGGAACATAAAAAATTTTAAGTGAAATTATCATTAAAAATATTTTATATAAAGTAATTACTTTTAGTTATCTCTCCTATCCCGAAATTCTGTATTACAAAGTTTTTTAAAAAATCTTCTCAAAATACTATTTTCAATGGTTTCTGCCCCATTACAATGTTCGTAATGGAATAAATCCTTCCATTCCAATGATTCTTAGGTCTTCATCATCATCATCGTCATCATCATCATTTCTTTTTCTCTAAAAAAATCGGTAAGAAAGCTATCAAATGTAGACTAGAGAAATTCCTTTAAATTGATAAAGAAAAAGTTGAACAAAAACACAAGTTTTTGGCGCTTAAGTTAAATTAACAGAAATATCTTTTTAACATTTAATAGTATAGCTATATCAGCAGACATTAAACATAATTTTCAAATTAAGAACATAATTTCAAAATTAAATTCTATGCAGAAACAAGAAATAAAATGTGTTTTTTAATAATGACTAATCTATGTTACGTGAATGAGGAAGTGTTGAATTGTATAGTGTCACGCGTGTTGACTCTTCAAGAAGTTCTAGATAATTTATTCTTTGTGTGTTTACGAAAGGTAATCAATGACTAGAATAGTTGCATACATTTATTGCACTTGTAAAATAACTTTGGTAGGAACACTATATGTAGATTCATGCCTATATAGTAGTGTTTCAATTTCAATGTATTTTATAAATAATTTATATTTCATCAATGTAGAAATATTGTTGGTATTGTTAATAACCCATAGAAACTAATTATGATAAACAGCAATACATAATACTTTTTTCCTGTAAATAAACTTTACTCCCAATATTCTTCTCATTTGGCAATGAACATACATGTATATTAAAAAGACAAGAGTAACATTTTACGATTTTAATATATTATGTATGCTATTTAGTCGATCACGTATACATCATCGCCTTCCTAGAGTGAAGATAAATGAGTTTTTCATGCATATCAACACATTTTATATGAAAGAATTTAGCGCAAGCAATTATTTATCAAATTGGGAAAGCACAGATGATTAGTGAGTTTCATATAAATTGCTATAGATGTTTACGGGAAGCTTAACATTGAATAAAAACAAAAGCATTATTCTAAACATTAAGTAGTACTTTCATATAAAATGGAAAGACTGTGTTGTACATGTGTCTTTAAGAATGTTCGTATGTAAATGGCAAATAAAGGAACCATTTAAAGTGATGTGTAAAATACAATTACAGGAAAGTCAGTTACAAATGATAAGTTCATTTGCACTAATGCACGAAGTACTTTTCATATGTAGATAAGTTTTGTACAAAATGTAAGTATTCCAATTTAAATATATTAAGTTCTACCTTCTGTATAAGTTCAGAATTACATAAGGTTCGTCTGGATTAGTGGCATCTGTGTTGTTAGGTTGATAGCACGGGTTAATAGTGTAATTCAGATTAGGTTGATGAAAACTCACCGGTTGGACACTAGTCCTTCGTCGTTCCATTTCACGATCTTCGAGACAAAAATCTGAATCCGAGTCTGCTTTCCTAATGGCTTCGTCCTACAACATAGAAGTTAGAATATTAAATAATAAATTATAATTGTCAATCTGTGTGAATTCAAGTTTATACCTGTGTCATTTGTTGTGTTGTTGTAAGAATTCTGGCCAGAGGACCACAACATACTGGTAATGTTTCCAGTAATGTAGGTCTGGAGTGAGTCAGAAACGGTTTCATGTAGCGAGTATCAAAGTCACCCCAGATTCTGGCAAGTAATGCTTTTTCATTAGGTTTTGCACTACTGCCTGGTAATGACCCATCCTGCATAGAATTATACTGTGAAATGTGAAGGACACTTTGATTATCCATCCTGTATGATCATGATATTTTCTTTGAATGTAATTAAGTACACAATTATAATTATTTTAAATATTTAAAAAACTCTTCCATTTTTGTAAAATTAGTTGAAATTATATAATAATAATACAAAGATTAAAATATATGAAAATTCCACAAAACACTGATATTAATAAAAAATTTTTACATAATAAAATATTTAGTGTTATTAGGTATTAATGAACATGCTTCATTGTTCATCATTAGATTCGTGTATACCCTGTTAATTATGTTTCTATATGTTTTGTTAATAAATATAAATGTATGTATAAATATTTTGTATGCTACTAATCATCAACATACAGAATGGATAACAAAAACAATACGGAAACAAATATTTAAGCACATGCTGTTAACAAATTAAACTGGTACTTAATGAAAACAAAATTGCAGTTTTAAATGTAAAGCCAATAGCTTTAGCGATACTTCATTATATAATGCAATTAATTAAGTTTTAAAATATATGAATATTAAAAGAAAAATAAGCATTTATAAAATTGTTAGTAGTATAATTTAACAAATTTTTAATAAGCTACATCTAATAAGAAAATAAATAAATAAATAATATTTGCAGCATTAAAAGAATACGTTCAGAATAATGGTTATTTTTGTTACTTTTTTTCAAAATAATAATTAGTTTTCATTGCTATAGAAGATCATCTGTAAATACAAAGTGTTAAAGCTCTCTGATAAAGATGATTTTTCTTATGTGTACCAACACTTGTAATGTAATATTGTTAATGGTCATTGCAAATATTTTAATAAGATAAATTCCAATAAATTTTTATCAAAATTGTTTAACTTATACATCTATTAAAGACAGAAAGCAACTCTTATAATACTAGTCATAATGCACAAAACTAGTAATTATATTCTATACAATTGCATAAGAAAATATGAAACAGATACTACAAACACAATCACAAAAAATTGATAATTTTGAATATGTAATTTTTTTATGCAAGAATTATTTATGACCATGTAAATAGTATAATTCAATTCTTGAATTGATGAGAAAACATACCGGAGGACTTCGCTCCCTATGCATGTCCAGATCTCCAAAGCCACCTTCGCCACCAGACTATTAAAATTAGCAAGTTAAAATTCCAGTATTTACTAAAGTAATTATCAAGCAAAATTATTTAGGATTAATAAAGCATTCTTACAAATTTTATTGTAATGTAGTAGACATGCTGGATTTTTCAAAAAGTTAAGTTCTAGTGCAAGCTATAATTTTAATAGTTTTTGTGCATCAGTAACCTAATATTATATAAGTGTAACTATAATAAAAAAATGTTAGTAAATACAATTTTTTAAAATAAATAATAAGTACAAAAGTTTATTAATGTAATTAAGTATTAATAATGCAAACCATTATATTTTAGAGATATTATGCTGTACAGGTTGACAAAAAATAACAAATACAAAGACTATCTGTTTTAAAGCATTCATGCATGAATATCTTTGGATATAAATTCTAAAGAAAATACTATTGTTCTCTAATCTTAAATCAATTCGCAAAAATTAAGTAACTATATTCTCCTTATACATAGATAGTTTAGAAAAAAATCTGCATCTAAAGTAATTTGTTTTAATATAATTACAATGAAAATTAGTAAATTGAAATAAATATAAAATAAATGTAAACATGTTAATTTAGTGTTCACTATAACTAAATACTTAATATTAAGTGCTCTTTAAAATATAAAGTTACATTTTCATGTCTATAGAGATGCTTTCTGATATTAAAAACATAAATTTTTATATAGAATATTTTAAAGATAAATAATCTTATTAAAATTTTGCTCTCGAAAGTCATTCGAATTTGTTTACTTCAGAAGATTTAGCTCTACAAATTTTTATACTTCTGCTTTTTCTTTTATATTGCCTAAAATTTTACTGTAACTACAAATACGTTATCTAAAAAGAAAGAGAGACACAATTAATATTTTTTACGCTGTAAGAAACACAGAACTCAATGTTATTTACTAAAGTTACTGAAATTGTGCGATCTTTCAAACTAAAAGTATTAGCACAAGTTAAACTAGATTCTTATTTTAGAAAGCTATTACTAAAAATTACTAACAATTTATTCATATTAATAGCTTATTCAAAAATAACTAGATCTAATACATAAAATTTGTTAATGCATATTCAATCTTACATTATTTTAGTGAAATGCTATTAATTTTAACTCAATATTGGAAAATATTTAAAATACTTACACTGCGCATTCCATTGTGTGATAATCCTTCTATTTCTTCATCTACACCAACTCTGAAATATGGTGCATTTAAGTATGATTATTGCAAGGAATTAGACATATAAAAATAACTGTTTGGGAGTTAGTTTAAACTCACGGTATATTAAACCAGCTTAAAAATTGAGTTGTAGCTCCACCTTGGAAAATAACTGTCAGGATTACTATTAAGCTCGTTGTTGTTAACATAGCTTGTCGGGCATCTGACACAGTATTTCTGATAGCTAAAGCAAAACTCATAGCTCCTCGTAATCCAGCAAAAAATAACATATGCTGATAATTTAATGATATCTTTGGCTTTCTTGCCAAATTTAATATAAACGATAATGGATATACGTTTGCTGCACGACCTAATAATGCACATAACTATAAAAAATGAAGTTAAGGATTTTAATTTTACAGTACATGTTCTAAAGATATAACAAAGTATTTGTTTAATAATTAATACAATTGTTTAAGGATACAAATCCAGACAAAATAAATCCTGGATCAAAGTGATGTTTTGGAAAAGTAAACATTGACACACCAATGTAACTAAATATAAAATTTTCAGCTAGAAAGTTCAAAAGTTCAAACAATTGTTTTGTTCGTTGACGCGAATCGGGACTTAAATTGTTATAAGTATAATGTGCTTGACATATACCACAGAATAAGACAGCAACTACGCCTATATAAAAAATATTTTTTAATTAATAATTACATTAAAAAGAAAATGTTTCCTTGAGAAATTATTCGTCACACTGTTAACCTATATTATACCTGTAAGATCAGATGCCTCAGCAATCAAAAAAGTACTGTAAGACATTAAAACGAATAAAGCTGATTCCAGCAAGGGAAAATCTCTGACTCTTGTAAATTTAGTTAACAAAGCTGTAATACAACCCATTGTAGCACCGATAAATAATGATAGACTAAATATTCCAACAAAATCACCAAATGCTTGAAAGAAAGCTACTGTTTCAAACCCACCACTACCTGATTGATAACGCTCTCCATAGTTCTGTATAGAACTGCAATAAAATGTATGATAATATTTACAAATAATATTACATATAAACATAATTAGAAAATATATGAATATTTCCTCATACATACCCACTAAGAACTATTGCAACTGCATCATTTAAAACACTTTCTCCAAATACTAAAGCATATAAATTTACATCTACATGTAAATCATTAAAAATAGAAATTATAGTCAGGGGATCTGTTGGAGATATTAATGCTCCAAAGTATAATGTATCCAGAAATGTGAATGACTTAGAAAGGTGTGGTATTAATTGTACAAAGGCGTACATCAAAGCTCTGAAAAATAAAAGAATAAACAATGTATATATATGAATATAGATATATATTACATTCTTAGACAGAACTTTTCCTTTTATCTGCTAACTGTGAAAAAAATAAGAGATAAATTTAATCTAAATGACCTATGAACGCATAATTATCACAAAATATGTTCATGACAAAAGCTTTACTGCGACGAGAAAATGTATGTTTACTTATTAGTCAGATATATTTATCATAAATAATAAACACATACCCAATAACAAATGCTGAAATTGTTGTTCCAATTAAAGCATACATAAGAATTGCTCCTAAATTTCTAAAGAAGTATTTCTGCAATGAAAAGTTTAAAAAGTAAATTATATTACATAGTTCCTATAAATAAAGTAATATTTGAGCACGCAATAATTTTACTCACTCGTTTTAAACTATAACCGGCATGAAATATAATTGGTGGTAAAATAATATTAAAAAATATTTCTGGATCGAATGTGGCCTATAATAATTGAATTATTTTAAAAGAATTTCCCAAACATTATATGTTCTAAAGTATATTTTATAAATATATTATAATACCTTCAGATCAATTTCATTATCCCGTTTATATATCTCTCCTCTAAATGAATAAGCAAATGTTTTATTCTGAATAAGACCACCTCCTTTATCTTCTGGAAAACGTAACCATAATGTATCTGGAGGAACTGATTGATTGTATTTACTACTGTTGTCTGGTACAACGGGCATATGAAGAATGGTACTACTTGTAAACCCATAACGAATTATTGCTCCTATAATTAATCCTGAAATTTATGTATTTAAAGTTAGTTTCAAATTTTATGAAACCATCTTTCTAAGTAGCAATTAAACATTTTTATTCATATAAGGAAATGTCTTTGAATATTTACATAACTGGAATCATTGTTATATAATTTTCTTGTAGTCTGTACATGCAAGTTAACCATAATAATACATACAATAAGAATTACAATTATTAATGTTTAATAGACATGTGAATGTTGAAACCATTTATCCAACTTTACAATATGAAATAATATCACAATAACTTTATTTTATATTCAAATTTACTAACAGTTTTAAAATATTCATTTATATTTAAAAAATAAATGTTATTATTTACTATAAAGATAAAAAGATCCATTATCAAATCCATCAAAATGGAACTTTTTATTATAATACACAGATTTATTTTGTATATATCTTACAGTATTTAAACACTATTCGTGCTAAAAATATTTTAAAATAATGTCATATTACATTTTTTATAATATAAAATATAAGTTTTAAACGAAAACTGCTTATCGTATGCGCATCTACGTACAATAATGATACTAAAGGAGGCTTTTTAAAGCTATAATTGAGAATTAAGATAAAAATTAGTATAACATACTGCAATTAATAATTATAAATTATAATACGTAAACAGTGACAATAGCAGACGACTTACCGTAAATGACAGCTAGACCAGTTTCATGGAGGAACCTAAGTCGACGATGTTTAAATGTCCATATTGTTAAAACAGTTAATATTAATAGAAATGTATATAGTAAGAGATTTAAACTGTCGAGCCTATGTAATAACTGTGCTTTTGCGTCTAATTCAATGTCTGTCGCGGCTCCGTTACATGATTCTAACAAAATAATACACAAAATTATAAGAAGAAAAATTCGTGCACCACCTTTCACTGCCATCTTTACTTCACAACCATTTGCTAATCAAACTGTCAGTTCAGCAGTATGACCAACTATATTAATGATGCAATCGAAAGTAACAATAGAGAAATAACTAAGCGAGTAATAAAAATACATTTTTTTTAATAGCAACAAAATATATTAAAATTTCATCCATTTAAAAAAATTGAATTTTATTAATTCAATCACTCTTGATTTTTTATATAAATAGAATATATAAAAGTTGTATATAATACATAAAACTTAAATTTGTAGAACCCACTATATAAAGATGAATTGAGCATTCGTGCAACACACGTGCGTTGCATGTTACAAAATTAATTTTTCTATATATTTTGTGTGGGTCGTGTATCGCGCGTATGTGTAGTGCGTGCGTGTGGTGTGTGGTTAGTCAAATCTCTGTATTGAAAGAAGTCACGTGGAATTTCAAGGATACTGTACTAAAATGTTTTGTTTATAAAATTTATAATACCAATTATTTGCAATAAATGAAAATACGACAATAATTTCTATCTATTTAATGTATAATCTAGTAGGTTGTTGGTCATAACATTTATTACAAACATGCAAAGTGTTATAAAATTATATCAAAGATTGTTAATAAAATATCCATTGAGGATTCAAGCTGTTCAAGCTGGTAAAAAAATATATGATATTTTATTGTTATATACTTATAATTAATAATAATATTTATATTATTAAATAAACAGGTACATTGATGGCATTGGGAGATCAGATTGCACAGAATTTAGTTGAACGAAAAAAAGATTTAGATTATATACGAACAATTCAGTTTGGAAGTATAGGTTTCTTTATCGCTGTAAGTAATTTTGTCATGCAAGTATTTTAAGTACATAAAAATATAAATATAATGCAATATTTCATAATATATCGTTTTATAAAATTTTGCTAATTCATAATTATGCCATAGGGCCCAGTAACACGAACCTGGTATGGCATATTAGATAGATACATTGGTTCTAAAGGAGGAACTGTAGTATTAAAGAAAGTATGCTGTGATCAACTTCTTTTCGCACCAGCATTTTTATTAGTTTTATTGTCCGTAATTGGTATTTTGCAAGGAAATGATACACAAAATTTGAAAACTAAATTGCAAAATGAATATCCTGATATTTTAAAAAGTAATTATAAGGTAAAATTTACAGTTGCATATGATAAATTTGATTTAACTCAATATCTTACAGATTCATGACTACAATTCTTTTTTTACAGATTTGGCCTATGGTACAATTATTCAACTTTTATTTTATACCTTTGCAGTATCAAGTTTTAATAGTGCAATCGGTAGCTTTATTATGGAATACCTATATTTCTTATAGAACTAGTATAAAGAAACAAGAATAGGTATATATAATAAATAAAAACTGCTATACTTGCATAAATCATAGTTTATTTCTTTTAATACAAATTTTCATACTTTTAAATTATATACTTCAACAATGCCACATAGCACAGTAATAAGAATCTATTTCTCTTCACAGTATGATGAACAATGACACTGATCATAAATGGTGTAGTAATAGTATTATAAAAAAATAATGCATGTGTATTCATACAAACCTTACAACGTGATTGTTTCTTTTGCAATTAAAAGTATAAAGCGTGATGAAAAAGTTCCAACATAAAAATTATTCTTTTTTTACTAAGTAAAGCTACAAAACTGTGCAGTCTATTAACAATGTAAAAGGAGGGAATGCGAATAATGTATTCATTATCACTTTTGGCTAATAATTTTACAAAGTGATTTTTTTTCATAAAGTTTACCGCCTATAAAAAGAGGAGTGATCGTTGTATTCGTGAAGAAAGATCATAATTTGAAGAGAATACTATTTACAATATTTTTGTATAAAAACAATATTCACTAAAAATATAGTGTTGGAATCTTTTAATCACACCTTATATTAATATTTTCACAAACGGACATATTTTAATATGCTAAAAAATAAAAGTATTTCTTGGAATGTAATTATTTACAAACTGCTGAACCATTGAATACAAACAACAAACATTAAGTATTTGCATTAGAATATTGATTACTCACAATAAATATGTAAAATATGTGCAGTGTATTGAAATTTCATCTGAATTATCTATAATCTACTTAAGCGTATTACCATTAACAATTAATAGTCAATGAGACCTTTTCTGCTTTTGCAACCACTCAGGTATAGTTTCATTGGTTTTAGATAATATACACGTTCCAAGAAGTTCTGGACACGATATTTCATTTGATACAATCTTCTGTACTTTTTTCAGTAAATCATAGTTGATACGTTGTGTTATAACAGAGTCATTTCTAGATCAACGTAACATAGTAATTATAAAGTGATCTAACAAGTTGTGTATTTTACATACATCTACAAACTAATGAGAAATACTTACTTGTATTCTGGATGTGAAACTACTTCCTTCCTTAACCATGCAGCAGTTGTTAGTAATTCTCCAGAAGCTCTTTTTTGTATTAATTTCATGTACGCTTGTATAGAACAATGAGTGTCAACATCTACATCCATACTAGTTAAATATGAATTTACCAGTGGTACTAAACCAGGAAACACTCCATCCTAAAAATCATATAACGTATTTTAGTTTTTTAGAAAGTAACGTAACTTTATTCTTTAAAGTAAAGGATAATTATAATACCTTTCCATTGATAATTTCATCAATGGTATATTCCGTATATTCCACTTGGCCATCTTTTTGCTTGTTTACGTCCGATGTAATATCTCGACGGAACCAAAATTTTTCTGCTTTGACCGCATTTCTTCTTTGAGCTCTCACCATGTTCTTATCAACTTTACTAATTGGTATTAACAAATTTAACTTGTAACTTAAAATAACTCTGGTAAGTAGAACAATAAAACAAACTATTGCAGCATTTTCGAAATCGGTAATTTGTGCTTCGCATGGTCGAAATTCAACACGCCATCCAATGGAAGAATTTGGTGGAGGCGGCTTAAATCGCATTGTTTGCCAATTGGTAGATTGAATGTTCTGAAATTTCATATTTAACATTTATTAAATAGTGCATATAAAATTTCAATGGTAATATCAATTAGTAATAACATTAATTACTTCAAAGTGGTCACTATCCTCGTCATCGTTCTGATATACTTTCTCTGAAAACAGAGATACGGTATCTCTAATAAACAAATGGGCTATATGTTGTGCTAGTAATCTGTCGATTCCATTATCCAAAAGTTGTTTGTATATCTCGTCATCATATGTTAAAGGAACGTCATTATACTTCTCTCCTTGTTCACTGAGATAAGAATCAATGGAGTCATATCTAGATTTACTAATTCTAAATTTATTTTCCTTTAGAGGTTTCAAACCGCGTTCTTCCTGTGTCCTGCAGTCGACAGAACAAGATATCACATTCCACCGACAATCAACGTCGCTTATATACCCTCGATAAAACGGACTAGCAGCGGTTAGAGCCAACTGTCGAATATTAAACAAATATTCTGTAACGTATGTGCGAAAGAATATGCAGATTTCATATTTTTCTATATAAAGATAATGATATAATATCATTATATGTTACTAACCATTATCGGGCATAAGGGTGTTAATTGATCATACAATGTTCTAGCTTCTTCTATATTACAAGCTTGGAAAGTAAGCTGTAAACAACAGCACCCCATTCCAAAGCCCATTGCATCCATGTAAATATGATCTTCTTTTGCTGCATTACTAGCTTCATTATCAGTTAAATTTCCGAAATCTTCTCGAAATGGATTCGGAACATTTGTATCCTTATATACTATAAAAATATTTTGTTTCAGACTTTGATTTCATTCCTGCATTAGAAAATCTTGCGAACATGAAAATATTAAATCCAAACAAATACATACTAGGAATGTTTATCGCAACTTTTTCTCCGCGTCGTTGTCTTATATTTCTCGTTAATGTTTTAAATCGTGGGTGACCTGGATATATAGCTTCATCTGGGAAAAATAAACTTCTCGATGCACCAGAATTTGGAGTTGCTTGTGTGGGAGGATCTGTGAAGTCAAGAGCTCCTGTTCTATAAGAACAGATGTAAACTATTAAATATTGTTACTATATTATTTGTTGTATAATATGTAATCATTGACGTACCTTGGAAAATTAGTTAAAGACATTAATACTTCATTAGGTTGTAGTAGTTTCGATGCTTCTTGTCTCCTATACCTCATATTGGCTTCAACAACATTAAAATGAAATAGTAGTCCACCATATGGTTTTCCAGGTGTTCCTTCCACCATGTAAGCACCATATTCAGGTCTCCACAAAGATTTAATATTGCTGCGAATGAAATGTACATTAGTAATAAATTATATACATATTAACATGTATTTATAACTTAGAATATACTTACTCTGGATCATTATATTCTTTCTCATTTAAAGTTTTCAATATCTCCTCAGCTCTTAAACTGAGTTTTGCAGTTTTTGCCTCGTCATCAAATTTAACGAGCATGTATTCCACCTATGTCAGAAGAAATTATATTAAAATTAAAGAATTTTAAGTGTCCTTATTTGGACAAAAAGTAACATTGATAATATCTTGATAATCTTGATGACTGCAAATATCAAATGACATATCAAATTTTAGATAGTTAAATCAAAAGCGTTGACTCATGTATCTGCAGGCATTAAAGTATAATTGGAAAAACTCAAGGTCATAGCAATAGTAGTTCATAAACTACAATTGCTGACAGCATTTATTGATTACCTCAATCAATACCATGAAACAATAAATGGGCATCACAAAACAATGAGTAGAATGCTTGTACAAAAATAATCAATATATAAAACAATAATTATTAACATAAAATACAATTAAATATATCTGAATAAAATGTCTTTCAACTGTTACATTAGAATAGTTCAAATACAATATTTTATGAATTGGAATAAATAATTTCTATGTAAACATTCAATATTCTCTGTGTCATTATTTAAACTATAATTTCATAATATATATTAAATGTCATTGCACAACTTTTGTTCATAATATTGATTGTGAGAAGTATAATTTGCAACACATTTCGTAATTATGCAATCCTTTTTGTAATGACTAATGACATTTCGAACAAAGTTTTTAAGCACAGTATAAGTCAAAAAATTAATATTACCTCATCGCCCCATTTCAGCACATCACCCTGACGATCTCTGAGTCTTTTGTACAAGTTAATAAATTGAATAATTCCATGTTTTCGTACATGATCGGCAAGATTTTTCGTTTCTTCCCAATTTAAAGGATTTCCTTCGGAGAGTAAACCCATATTTGTACAGGTTAGCGAGCACAGTTTTTCAAAATATTCTGTGAAACAGAATTTCGCGCACAGTCGGTCCGACTCGTCTTGTACTAATTGTAAGTTATACCGAGGCACAATTTCACTTGTGCTTAGGAAGTTACACAGAAATTTCACAGTGAAATAAAACACAGCACTATCGACTCTTTATATGCCAACTACTGTTCTACCAACTATCCCGTCGCTTTGAATGGTATATAAATACAAGGTAACCATACCCTCCTACCACCACATTGCGATATTACAAACGCTCCAAGATATCAGTTTGAAAAATTAATAAGTCATGATGTCACAGAAACTTGAGTAATAAAATACAATGCTTCCACATATCATTGCGTTCTAGCAACACCTTTCGTGTCTCATTTTTATTTCCACTATTTTGTGACGTTAAAAAGTAGTCAGCAATTTTTGAAAAAGTGGAATAACGATGCAAGAGAGACAAAATAAAAGCGAACAAGCAAGCCTTCAACACAGAATTATTTATTCACACAATGCGAAATAATTTGTCTTGCTTTATCGTTGCATGCCTATTCTCTCTTTTCCATGTGTTTAATAAGGCGGTAAAGAGGACAAATATCGCGTTTCATGACAATTTATTCACGTGTAATAAAGATGATGTATTACGTAAATGAAAGAGTGAAAAATAATTGTTACTCATTCGACACTATTTCTTTTTACTTTTAGTTACAAAGTAACAGCGAATTATGAATTAACAAGGATAAAAACGAAATAGTTACACTCCTAAAACATTTCGCTGGATTCTCTAAGTTGCGTGAAGTTAACAAGAAAAAGTGCAACCATATTTTATGTACTACGATACCTGAGTACTTAGTTCTCCTTGTAAATTTTCGATTTAATTTCAAATGTAACTTACATTTAAGACTAGGACCATTAAAAACATTAAATATCCGAAGTTATTTTCAAAATAAATAGTTTCACTTGGATACTATAATGAGTGTATGAAGAAAGCGAAAAGTTTATTATTACAATTTTTATAAGGATTATATATTAATCATATATTTCATACGTTTAGCTCGACAGATCTAGCGTTAATGTAAACAGTACTTTGATAATATATATAAATAGTATTTTAATTATTAAATACTTTAATGTCAAGTATAAGAAATTGAATAAAAAAATCGTTAATAAATATTATCTATATTGCTAACGTTTATTTTAATGTAAAATAAAAATCTTATATTTCAGAAATATAAAGTTTTAAAAACTGACTTTTTTGTAATTATCAATTATATCATAATTTCGAGATTATATCATAATCTCTTATATGTACTTAGTTATATCATCGCCCTTGTAACTACATATTGCTTTATCAAACTAAAAGTAGGTACCTATCTTTATTATCTTTATCAATTATCTTTTAAAAAGTATTAACTCATTGTATTGACCAATATTGACTCACCTATCAGTAATAAGACGTATTAAGCCACGTAGAAGTGAAAAATGACATTAGAGAAGATAAAGGTCGAGAAAGGAACAAATTCATATACAACATATATTATAAAGGATGTTTTATTATGACTGTTCACAATCTTAAGATCTAGTTTATAAAAACACGACCCGACCATGAACATGTTCAATCATTTGAACAATGTTGACACATGTAAACATACATGCAGTTTAGTCAAACAAACCGAATCCCATGTCTTCATCTTCAGATTCTTCTTCTTCTTTCTTCTCTTCTTTCTTCTCAGCAGCAGGTGCTTCCGCAGCAGCTGCAACTGGTGCAGCGGCAGTCACAGCTACGGCAAATTTACTTGGATCCTACAAAATTGGCATTATGTTAATTCATAAATATAAAAATAACTCATGTAAATTGTAAACATATTTGCTGTCAGACTGCGTTTTACGCATTTATCAACACAAAATTCTAAAGTGTCAGTGGGTTCTGCTATCTCTAGCTCTAACACTGTGCATAGAATTTTCAGACGCGTTTAAGTATCATCACAAAAGTATATATTCGTGAAAATTATTATCCTTAAACAATAAAATTGAACATACTTTGATGTACTCCTTGATTGTATCAGCTTCAGCAAATTCGACTTCTGTTACAGCAGCAATAGCCAACAGATTCTTGAATCCATTAACAATACTGTGAGGAGCACTAGCCACTGTGGGATAGCCAATAGCTAAGCACACCGAAGCCAAATTTGCAACGCCAGTCATAAATTTTTCACGGAGATCCTCCGGCTTTATGTCCAAAATTTCAGGTGCAAAAATAGTACCAGAATCATAGACTTGTTCCACAATTAAACCATACGAGAAGGGAGAAATGTTCAACATGTTCAAAAGAGTAGCTTCTGATGCACCTACTTTGTCACCTGGTTTCAAAATATGTACATCATTCTAAAAAACAATGAAAGATTAAATGTATATAATACAAATATAATATTGATAACATACAATAACTTTTTATAAAAGTACAATTACAAAATGCAAATATACTATATACATACCACAATTTCAATGGTACCCTTGGAAATCTTAGTGGGAATACTCAAAGCTTGGAAGAAAGATGTTTTCTCAGGACCAAGTCCAGTGTTCTGAGCAGGAATAATGACGCTCAGTGGTGCAATAGCACCTGCTCTAGCCGGTGCTCTGACTTTATTTTCTAAAAGCTTGTCCCTCACTTCGATTAAGTCTCCACGAGTGAAAACGAATCCAACATTACCACGAATATGTGGTAAAAGTTTTTCCAATGCTGCGTTACGTTCAATGTGTCCACGAATTGCTTTTCTCATCATAGTGTTTTTTCCCATTAGTACAACAGCATTTCCACGAAGAGACATACGAATTTGTTGCATTTGTTTAGAGCCAACATTATCAGCCCCAACAATGAAACATTTGGGATAATCATCTAAAAGTTGCTACAAAAAAAAATACCATTTTTTATAAGCTACCATTATAATATCACATTTTTGAATATTTTGAAGTATCAAGTATCATATTACTTTGAGATACTTACAACAAGTTTGGTGAAGTAATTTGACTTCCATGTTGCCTTGTCCTCCCTACCCATCTTGATGTGTGTGTAGGGATACCGAAGAGTTTAAGGACTATAAGAGAACACAAAATTATTAAAACTCAATTCATTGTAATTGCCATAACATTTATGGATAAAATTGTAATCAGACTGCACACGTGCAATTTATAATCTTTTCAATCCACATACACAGATGGGTTCAACTATTTCTAGCTTCTGTGTAATTTTATGGATTTATCAGACATATTATCTTATCATCACGTAACATCTATTACTCATTATATGTTTTCTGACAAAGCAGAATCGATATGACAAAGAAAACCATAAATTCCACATAATTTCACTAGCGTACATAGGTTACATATATGCAAGGTAAGTTTCATAACACGACAACCTATAATAAATTTTTCATTATAGAAAAAAAATGATGTTTATTGCCAGTTGACAATGGACAAGTAAAAATATGTGAGAGTAGATTACTAGTATATGTATTGCAATAATTGCAGAAATATTTGAAAAATCCTATCATTCAATCATAATCCAACTAAACAGACGTAGTGTCAACAGTAGACAACAATTTGAATACTGCCTAAAGTAAAATTTATTTCAATAATATCTCAGTAAGTATTAATTTTAGATCCTAACTTGTCTAATACTTATTTACAGAAAATTTGATGCTTTATCTGAATACAAAGAAAACTATTACACCTCACACTAAAATATTTTAGCTTTATATTTCGATAAAAAAGAGAACTTTTAAACCATTTAACAACTACTTAAGCAATAAAGCAACTACAACATTGTATGTACCCTTAGAAACTATGCAATTTTTATTTGAAACATTCTTTTTTACAATGAATTCATGAATAAGTTATTTCAAGTTGTTATATTATGAGAC